TATATTTTTTTTTGCTATTATATTACATCAAAGAGCTTAGTGTCGTGAAGTGTTGATTTGTTTCGATTTCATACATTTTTGAACTTTTTTACTATCATCAACAATATTTTTGTTACTGTTTGCAGAGTTCACGGATTAAAAAGTGGCAAATGTCTGAAAGAACTTCGAGGACATACAAATTATGTTAATGATGCGAAATATACAGAGGTAAACAGGTTAATTTCAAAAGAATAATATGGAATGTTTATATACTTACGATGTAGTCAATAGAAAAACAACAGACCTATATTTTGTTTCATTATTTTTGTGACTTTATTTTATTAGTCTCAAGCTAGGTGTTCAGATTTATAGTTTTCAGGATGGCCATATGTGTGTTTCTGCTTCAAGTGACGGAACAGTACGAGTTTGGAATTTGAAAACTTGTGAATGCGTGAATACAGTACGAGTAGCAAGTGATACAGTTGTGAACAGTGTGAATCCAATCCCCAAGTCTGATAATCAGTTCATCATTTGCAATCGATCAAATACAATTGTTATTGTGAATATTCGGGGACAGGTAAAGAGCCGTAAATTTTCAATTTATGAGTTAAGAAATTTTAGGATTTGTTTTTAAAACATTTTATTGTCTCTCTGAATTTTTTTCTCTTGTTTCAGATTGTTAAGTCAATGACTTCGGGTAAAACTGAAAATGGTAATTTCGTTGCATGTACACTATCTCCACGTGGCGATTGGGTGTATTGTGTTGGAGAAGACCATGTGCTTTACTGTTTTTCGTTAATTACGGGAAATCTGGAAAGCACATTACCGGTATGTTAAATAGTTTTTTATAAATGAAAGAAATAAATAGATGGGAATAAATAGTCATTTTTAGATCAAATAAATATTTGGCATGTGAAATCATCGGATTTAGGAAGAAATAAAATTGAATTTTCAGATTCGAATTTTATGCCTTTTTTTGCAGTTACATGACGATCGAGTAAATGGTCTATGCCATCATCCGCATCAGAATCTGATAGCTTCATATGCAGAAGATGGATTATTGAAATTATGGAAGCCATAAAAACATATTAATGAAAAAACATATTAGTGAAAATATAAATCCTACTTGAACTACCAGTATTTTCAGTAGGCTTTTCTACGAAATTTTTATGTAAATTGCAAAATGCTCTATTTTGTGATGTGACGGCTTACATGCAAGTATTTGGTTGGTAGGCTAAGTGGTTCTGTTCATTTTCTTTCGTTTACAGTGGAACTTAGTTGTGGGGTGTGAAACTGCATATACATAGTGGGGACAGTGGAAGGGATATGCCTTAAGATGGAAGAGTATTTGAAGTATCTTGAATATTCTTAGTTTAACTGAGGTTAAGGAATGTCAGGAATACTGTGGAGACTTGGCATATTTTTTTCTCCATGGATATGATAATTTTAGGTTGTTGAGTTATTACTTGTTTGTTTTATCCAGTTCAGTAATTCTACTTTTGAGACCAAATGCATTTTTTGATTAGTTTTTTTCATTTTTTCGTGTCAGAGCGATCATATTAATATTGATAAGTAATTGTTTTCTTGGGAAAAATTGCTTAAAACATATTAGTTTTTAAGTTTTTAATTTTCAGACTAAAGTTTTAAAATTCAGAGATTCATTTCTTGAGAAAGTTCTTGGTTTCCTTTTCGTTCTTGATTCTCATTTTTTATTAGGTTTATGATTTTTTTTTCAAAATCTATTATCCATTCATTTTCTCAGTGTGCGTAATTTTGAAGATTTAAGAATTATTAGATGATTTCATGGCAAAGAATAGCATATTATGTTTATTTTAAGTAAGAATCAAGAGTTGTCCATAAATGAATGCAATAAGACTTTTGAAAATTCAAAATCGAAAAATATAACTGTTGTTAGCTTAAAATTTTGGTCCGTTTCAATAAACTGCAATACTTTAAGAAAGATGTATCACACCAGTGATTATACAAATTTCAGATTTTTTGCGATCTCGGAATTGGAAAAAAGAAGTTATAAAAGTGCTTTATTGCTCTTTGTAATTAGCTTATAAATATTTTATGAAAAATTTTGCTGATTTTTTCTTCACAAAAAAGAGCAGTTAGCAATCAGAAAGAGCTAACGTCTTGAATGTTGTGAGTTGGTTTGATTGTTGCCCACAGTTTTCATGCCTAACATTTATTGGAGCATTTGTCGACAATCATAATGCAGGTTGAATCCAAAAAAAAAATACAAGTGTAAGCGTTAAGTCGTTCCTTAAAATAGTGGAGTTTGATTTAAATCATTTTTCATTGAGAAAGTAATTACTTTTAAGTCTTTGTCATTCATGTCATATTATGAAGACAGACACTTCACATGACGTGTTGAAAGTACAGGTATGCTAGTTCTTGCATCTCAAAATTATATTTGAATTATGAAGTGATCAGATGGTTAAATTATACATTTGAAGTTTAAATGATAGTATATGCCAAGCTGATTCTTCGGGTCCTTGTATCAGGGTCAATTTTCTCCGGATAAATTTTTCTGGTTCCCGAAAAGAGAATATTTCCCAAAATCTTCATGTAAAATTGTTTGCAAATGAGCATAGAGTGCATATTATTACTTCTTATATTTCTCCACATACATTCCGTTAGATGACAAGTTTATCTACTTAATCATCATTCTATAGGTGTGTTTATCTAATAATGACGTAATTTATGGAAATACTAAGTTCAAATTCAAATTTAAATTTTCGTTATAAACCTACCTCTGATAACGTAACGTAATAGCTACACTGAAAAAATTTACTCAAATTGCACAGCTAATAATTTTTTTGCGTGTTAGCTTATACTAAGCTAACAGCGGTGCATGAGATTTGTCGTGAAGGTAAATTATAAAAGCTTCAGAAATTTCACGAGTATTTCAGCACCTGGAATTTAGGTAATTATAACCCAGAAAACATTTTCGGATTCCAAATTTCTCCCTTCATTTGTTTACTGGACGCTATTTGTTTTATTATATTTGAAATATGCATGGCTAATAATTAAACTTCAATCCAATTTTATAATATTTTCCCATGATTTACAAAAAAAAAAAAACTGAAATATTTTAAAATTTCAAAGAATTGCCAAAAATTTCTTCCCTTTCAAAAATGTTTTCCATTTATAAATACAAAAAATGGCTTTACCGATCAAAAATTAAAAAATTATCCCTCATTTTTTATTAGATTTCAATAGAGAATTATTCTTTATTTTTTTTTAAATTTCACTACAGACTTCATCTGAAATCTTTTTTGCTTTGAAGAAAAATTTTTTTTTCCATTTTAACGTAGATTTCATTTGCTTACTGAACAATACAAAATTTCATTATAAATCACAAACACAAATGTCGGTTCCAAAAAAATTTTTTGATAAAATTCATACTAAACCATTTCCTTAATTTTATTATATGTTTGTTCAGTAAAATATCATCCTGTAATTATTTTCTCTTATAAAGATATCATGAGATTCGCATTCGTGAATTGAACTTCCTGGAAATTTCCTTAATTCTCGGATGTTGTTCATGAGAATTTCCGCTGTGTTTGTGAAATATTTCTTTGAATTTAATCATTTTCTATTGCTTTTTCGCATGTTTTTATTTCATTCCATCATATTTAATGCAGCAATTAAGATTAAACTGAATGTAATTTGCAAATTAAATCATTTCTATTCTCAGTAATCATTTACATGAAGGAATCTTAATAATTAATTCTCTCTGTGTTGTTTATCCTTTACATGCAATGGTGCTTACTTATTTGATTTTTGGCATTAGAATTTCATGGAAAAAGAATACTAATCAAAAAAAAAAAAATATTGAACATTGATTATTTTATGAAATGGAAGTAATTTCTTACATTTCAGCATCTTCAAGTAAATCAGCGATCTCTCGAAGTTATTCGTTATGCATCCATTGCAATCCATCAAATGATTCATTAGCAGCAATTCTTCGATTTCTTTCTACAAATAATTTTTTGTGAAATCAAAATAACAACCAGTAAAAATTTAAAAATTTATTTTTATGTCTTATTTTTTACGATAAATATGCAATTGGATAAGTCAAAATAACACATAATTTTCAAAATAATCACCAATTTTTTGAAGTTGTTTCCTACGTCGTTCTTTGTATTCTTGCAAATAATCTACGAAGAAAAGTTCTTTGCTTCCTTGCTATAAGTAATTTAAAAAGATAAAAATGAGAGAACAAGAAAATATTTCAAGTTTTTCAAAAAAAAAAAAATTAAATTTTTAAACAACTATAATTTAAATTGGATCGCAAAAAGTTTGCTTAAATGGCTTTCGAAATCATCTTTGATTTTGATTGAATTGAAAATTCGAATTTGTTTTTGGTCGGATACATGGTCTCCTCCAAAATTATAGCGATATGGTTGAGGAAAAGTCATATACACATCGAGATCCCGGTGTCTGCTCCACATCATTTTATTAATTTTACATTTTCCTTCAGTGGACAAAGTAATCATGCTTTAATGATTTAATTAATTAAATCTCAATTTCGATTCATAAATTCAAAAACAAACATTTTGCATCCATTCGCTTTTCAAACATTCTGTTGCGGACAATCGAGCTCTACAAATTGAAATATATGACATTAATTGATTTAAGCAGATTCTCATTCACCGATTCGACGTTAATTATAATTAAATACTAAACTGAATTCTTTGAATTGAATTTAAATAAAATTTAAGACTGAAATTTTAGCAATTATTTTTGAAAAAAAAAACCCAATTTCAGCAATCCTTTTTCAGTCAAACATCTTTCAATCTATCAAATTTCTTTCTTCTTCCTTCTCTTTCGATTCTCTTTCCTTCTAGCATTAATTACAATACAGACAATTCAATTTTCGGCACTTCAAATTGGAAGAAAATCAAAAATTAAAAAGAAATCTAGGATTGCAAATAAAAATCGAATTAAAAAAACTTTTGCCATTCCGAAATTAAAAAAAAACAAATTTTAGTTTAAAAGAAAAAAGTTTTTTAAAAAATTTAAAAGAAAAAAGAAAAATTAAAATAAATTTTAGCTACAAAAAAAGAAAATTATTACCTGGCATCTCCAACAATTACAGATTTCAGGATCGCAATAATTGCATCTGAATGAATTCGATAATTTTTTGTCTCATCAATCGTTGAAATGTTAGAAAGGATTTTTAATCGTATCAGTTCATAATATTCATCGTCGAATGGTATTCTACCAGTTGTTAATGTATATAAAACAATTCCAAAACTCCTAAAAACTTGTGCAATTAAGTTTTTACAAAATGGAAATAGAAAAATTGAAAAATTAATGTTATTGTATAAGTTTTATCTGTAAATTAGAGTAATAATTTGATTTAGAGTTACATCGTATTGATGAATATTACAACAAAATTTTAACCAGTATTAGCAGATTAAAAGATATCACTTTCGGAATGGCAAAAGTTTATGATGTGAAATACAACAATTAATTGACTAATTAATTACCATATATCTGATTTTGTTGTAACATCACGGTGAGAAATTTGCTCAGGTGAAGCAAAATCAATTGCACCAGAATTCCAAATAGTTGCTTCTTCATTACATCGACTGGAACCAAAATCGATTACCATAAGTCGTACAACATCACTAACATGTGTTAGTAAATTCTCCGGCTATAATAAAAGTAATAAAAACAAACAAAATTTAAAAAAAAAAAAAGAAGAAAAAATAGAAAAAAAATTTTTTTTCCAACTTTTATGTTAGAATTTTGTGATCAAAAATGGCGCAAAAATTCTTCATACTCTTACCTGAATAGCAAGATGAGCAATTTTAAAGGAATGAAGATATTCTAATGCTAATAGAAGATCTTTGCAGAATCGTTGAATTAATACTTCCGAAATATATCCCAAACGTATTAGATAGTCTAATAAATGTGGACCATTTAACCTGTTAATATTAATATTGCTAGATATTATGATAATTTAATGATTAAAGTAATTATTTATTGGAGATAAAAAAATTACGAGTTCAATTGTTGAAATATCTACATTACAAAATGACTTTTTGTGGAATTCATAAAGTAAAAAAAAAATTTACAAGAATGTTTTATCAATTCAGAGAATCGATTATTTTACTTTGTTTATTCTCTTTGATTGAAAAGAATAAAAAGCAATAGTTACTAGAAAAAAAAACAATCAAATGTCTTATCAATAAAAATTAAATGTGAGGATAAAAAAAATTCATCATATTCACTGCCTAAAATTTTCCCTCTTAACAGTTTTCCATGTCAATGATAAATGAAAGAAGAGTCGCGATAATTTTATTAATAAAATTAATTCACATAATATATATATCCTTACTGAATAATAACTTTATTGAAAAATTGTTTTCCAGATTTTATAGCTAATTTTTAGCCATTTTTATTATTATTATCATTAATAATACTTCTGGTTACACGTTTCAAGATAACTCTCCGGAATGGTAATTAATTGTTCGAATAAATAAAATTATCTTACCATTGCATAATCATGATTAATTGATTGTTCATTTTAACAGCTCTACGATAAGCAACAATATTACGATGTCGAATGCAACGCATAATATTTATTTCACGTTCCATATTTTCCCATTCAGTTTCAGTTTGTGTGAATTCACGCATGAAACATTTTGCCGCATATTTTTTCTTATCACTTTTACGTATTACTTCTTTCACATTACCAAATCTTCCTTCGTATACAATGCGAGCAATTGTATAAATTTCCTTATATGTCGCTTCATCAATATATTCCGTCTAATAAATTATTATAATGTAACTTCAAGGAAAAATCAAAAATAATGATGGTAGATAAGAGAAAGGAAAATTAATCAGCTAGTTCTCTTCTTCAGGTAAAGAAATAACTTATAAAATAAAGTACAGCAAACAGAAATATGGAATAGATGATAAAGTTAAATGAAAAAAAAATGTAAAAATTAAAATGAAATATGAAAAAATCAAATTTGATATTTTTTCAAGGATAAAATCAATAATAAATATTGCTTAATTTATTTAATGGGACAAATAAGTAAACAATAAAGCAAACAAATAAATAATTGCGAGTAAGAAAATTGATATAAATGAACTATCACCTCAGCATTAATATTACCAATAAAGGCAATGGGTGATAAAGAAGAAACCGAATTTAAGTTAACATTAGCTATTGGCCCAGTTTCACCCTTGAAATATTCATTAAAAGCGTAAATACGAAAGGAATGGAAAGTTCTTTTGAGATCTGTGATAACAGTTGATGTACCAATGATACCTTCCATTGCTATCTTGTAATTAGTCATATCTAAAAAAATACTAGTGATTTATCAAACTTTTATTTGACTGAATTCATTAAATCACATACTAAAGAATGTATAAAACTTAATTAAACGCAACGCTTTCATGATTATACTGAAATAGTACCATTGTTATAATGATATAAAGATTAAGGTTAAAATGGAAATTACAATTAATGTAGCCAAAAAGGAAAAAAGAACGAAGATTTATTTCATTTCATTTCTTTCCAAGCTTGTATAATTAATACACATTCATTTTGTATTTTTCCGACAGTGAAATATCACCATTTAAATCTTAACCTCTTACTTCATTATAATGATGAATTATATGTTGCAAAAAAAAAAGAAAGACGAGTGGATGAAGCAACCCAACAAATATAGGTCGAAAAATTAAAAAAATAAACAGAATAAAGGATAGCATGAGAATCAATGAAAAAAAGAATGAATTACTAAAACTGAATTGAAAAATAATTAACATATAAATCATAATATTATTGGAATTTAAAATTATCATAAAAATTTTACCTTTTCGTTTATATTCTATAACATAGAAGACATTTTTCGAATTACCCGTTTTTGCATTTTTCCATTGTAACAATACACTATTGCGATTAATTGCTTTACATGTTGTGATATAGGTTATGCCGGGTGGTACGATTACCGTAATCCAAGCGACAGTATGACATTTACCGAAGACGTTTTCAGCTTGAACCCAATATTGTCCGCCATCTTCTTCCACGCATTTTTTTAATGTTAATATTGAATAACCTTCTTCTTTTGCCTACAACAAAAGTACAGAATCTTTTTTCGTTTTGATTAATCCATTGATTATAAAAGCATATTAATAAAATTTGATGTTAAATAAATGATTTGCAATATGATTGGTAGATTATAATATTGTGAAATTAATTAATGATATTGATAAAAAATTATCCGAGACATATATATATTTCAATATTCAATTATAATATTTTAAAATACACTCATAAATCTTAGAAAAATTGATTCTCATAAATTTTTATCATTGAATGATGAAAATCTAAATTATGCAATGAGATCTTTTTCTAGAATTCTTAATAAAACCTGAAAATTAGCATTAAAGTTTATTTAAATTCAAAAAAATAACAAAAAAAAAATCATCAATTTTCATTTCATTTTCTACCAGGATTGAAATAGTTATATTTTAATAGTGGATCGATTTCAATTTTTTTGAATTGATAATAAATAAAACGAAAAAGCTTCGTACTTACGGTAACTTCATATTGACGCTTAGCTGTAATTACTGGACCACGCCATGTGATCGTGTGTGATTCTTCCGAGAAAAATTTACACATCAAAGTTAATTTTTCGCCTAATTTTATCGTCATATCTTGCAAAGGTTCAATACAAATTGGTCGTTTATGCGAAGAAAATATCAATGAAAATGATTCCTTTTGTACAGGTAGAAATGATATTAAATCAGTTAGATATGAAATATTATTTAATAAATTAGATGGATTATTATTAAAAATTATTGCTTGACCAGAATCCACTAAATGATACCATTTTCGACGATATCTAAAATGAAAAGTAATAATGAAATTAAATGATAATTTATTTTGTTTTGCTCTTGTTTTTCCATTTTTTTGTGTGTACGTTGTATGTTTTCTTACAATCTAAATAAATCTTAACGCCCCCCTGTAAAATTATTATATAATTACTAGATCAAATTGAAATGTTTTGATTGAAAATAATCAATTTTTTAATAAATCATTCACATATGACATATGAAAGATTAATCATATCCCTCTAACTAATTTCAAACTTGAAATTATCACTGTTAGCCTAATCAATATGGCATACAACAAAGACGAGCATAATTATTCCAGCTGTGAATAATTAATGCTAATAAATTTGAGCAGGAAGAGCATTTCTCGTCTAAACGCATCAATAAAATTTTCAGTTTTAAATTCATTAACAATAATTATCATAACTAAAACAATGAAGCCTTTCTTCATTGCATGCATACAAATTCAGATAACGGTGATTATTTTAAATTTTGCAACATTAAAAAATTATAAAAATATGATATTATAGGACAAACCTTATTTGTTGAGCAAAATTATCACCTGGCACCGTATTCAGATCCAGAAAGTAAGTTGGAATATAACCTTTCTTCCCATCTTTTTTCTCAACTTCCGCATATCCTTCTTTATTAATATTTATGATTCTTACCTGTAACAAATTTATAGCTTCTTTTTACTCGGATAATTCAAAAAATTCATCGATTATTCTGATAAAACGAATAATTGTGCAATGATTCTATACGAGGTAATAATTACTACACGTAATTTACTTCCTATGTGAATTGTACTGAGAATGTACCACATGAAAATTAAAATATTATAATAATTAATATTTTCCGTTTTTTTAATGCATCATCCGTTAATCAATTATTAATTTTGCTGTAGCAATATCATTTTACTCTTAGTGTAATTAATATCTGTCTGTTTTAAAAATTATTTTTATTCTTTATCAATCATTTCTAATTATCTTTTCTTTAATTTTCCGGAAAAAAATGTTCCACATTAATCATTGTGAATGAAATATTAATGAAATTTCTTTTAAACAACAACAAACAATAATCTTTTATTAATGGTATTCATTAAATAACATTATGTATTACTTAATAATACTCGCTATATATTAATTAGTGGTATTATTCAACCAAACAACAACAGCAACAACA